TCCCCTCCCCTCCCCTTTCTTCTCCCCTTTCCCTGCCCCTCCTGTTATTAAGAAACTACGCTGTGTACTTTTGTAGTTAGCCAAGGAACACCGTATAACCCCGACGGACAGCCAATGGGAGGCTTTGTCATGGACGGTCAGCAGCACATGGGCATCAGAGCGCCAGGTGAGACTTCCTTTTGTGGTGGCTTTTCATGCCTAACTCCCCCAGTCCCGGTCAGTGCAGGTAAACCCACCCCGCCCTCTGCTTTCTCAAGCTGCCTGCCGTCCTCGCCTTGCTCTGCCATCTGTGCGTCTAAGATCCTGCAAAGGGGAAGCCAGGACCTTTGTGTGCTCAAGATCTCACCGCCTCTCAACCACCTAGAAGCTGTTTTGTTAAAGGGTCTTTTGGCACTATCTGTGGACTTTGCTCATTTTCTGGCCTCTTCTTGGATTTTTATCTCCCTTCTAGGACCTATGAGTGGAATGGGCATGAATATGGGCATGGAGGGGCAGTGGCACTACATGTAACCTTCATCTAGTTAACCAATCGAAAGCAAGGGGGAAGTAAGTACAAATGGGGTCTTTGTTTTCACTTTGTCCTAGGAATTTTTTTTTCCCTCTTGCATTTCCTCATGTTCTCCTTGCCCATAGCTTCATGCTTGTTCATTATTTCCATTAAATCCTCATTTCTTGCTTCTTTCATTTTCTTGTTGGTTTTGATCAAGGTTTTAAGCTTATAAATTCTGTGTATGATATACATTTATCCTGTGTGTTGCTATTGTACAGTACTGACCACATGACAGAACAAGAAACAGTCAGGAGGTGGGGGAGTGGGTTGTCATAGCAACAGACTGATTTGCAAAATGTAAGCAGTCTGCAGCAGTGCAAGGAGAGGAAAGAGCATGTCCCCAAAGTGCCATAAATCTGTCTAACCGCAGTTGATGCATGAGTTACATTTCTACACTAACCTGCAAGACACCAAAAAGCCAAACAGAGAACTTCTTTTACGTAAAATAAACACAGCTTTACTTAGGGTAAGTAAAGGCATATTTTCAGCTTCAGTCAACTAAACTTTGATTTTTTTTCTTAGTTTGTTCCTTTGTCTGTCCATCATAATGGGATTACGTGTGGCAATGGGAAAAGGGAGAATACAAAATAGAGGTGTGCGCAGCAGGCTTCGGGGCTTAGCCCAGGCTAATTGACTATATCCAAATTAAGTATGCCATCACTTGCGGTGTGACAAATGGATTTGACTTATTCAGTATACAAAAATAGAGATCATTAATGCAATCTTCAGTGGCAGGCCCAGTGAAGTGGGCCTAGGAAAACTGTCCCAGATTCTCACTCGGACATTTTCTCTCCTAAAAAGACAGCCCAGAAATTCGAGTTCAAACAACTAAGACTGTTTGGAACTCCAAAGCCCCGGTTCATTTCCTAAATCACCACTAACAGCATTGCTCTAGCTTTCTTTTTTGAAATTAAAAACTGCGATTTCAGAGTCTTGGATGTGCCCCTGATTATATTAACACACTATTTAAAATTCTTGCTGAGGCCAAGGGTAATGCATACTGGTCTTCTTCCCTGGGTGGGAGTCCAATATGAGTTTAACAATTCACTCTGAAAGCATTCCATTGAGCTTGGAAATCAACAGTCTTATTACCTCATCATGGAATTCTCCAGCTTAGTTAATTTAAATATTGTTTCTTAGTTTCTGGGTCAATTAAATTTAAATGATGTATTTTATGCTTCGTGACCAATTAAATTAATAGGTTATTACAAAAAATATTATCATCTTTTTTGATTAAAGAGCTGTGGGTACAGTATATTTTATAAGCAATTTTCATTAGTTCAAAAATGTTCCTTTAGGCTAGATTAAGCAGCCATTCATTGCTAGAGCCTGGAGACCTTATCCGAAGGTGTTCATCGTATTCACAGTGCGCTATTACTTAGAACTAAAGCCAATTGAACATACTTAGCAATGGCGTTATGCCTTTCACCCTTGATGATGATGGAGCTTATGGCTCTGAGAAACAATACACCCGTCAGTTTCCATCAACTAGAGCAATCCATGCAGAAGACAAGAGGCCCCGCAAAGCAAGAGGGGTATTGTTTTAGGTCCAATTTTTCTTATTGTTCTCAAAATCATTGTAAGGTAGACAGGGTTCTGTTCAGCTTTTCTTTTCCTCCAGCTTTAAGAGGCCATGTGGAAGGAATTTATTGATAACTGTTTTGATTTTTTTTCCCCAAAGGTACAGGATTTTGTTAAGTGGTCACCATTAGTGAGCTTGCCTAGTTCTTCTTCCTGTGACACACTGAGCGACCACAACAGCAGTGTGCACATTCTTGATAGAGCTTATTTCAGGGAACAGAAATGATGCTTTAGAGCAGAACCCAGTAAGGTGTGTGTTTGTTTTTAAGTTAGACTTGGTAGGAGGACTGAGGATGATGGCAATACCAGAGACATAGTGGCGAGTTCAGATATCCAGCTTTGACATCTCCCATCTTATTTTCTTCTGTATGAATCAAAAGAATGTGTCCCAAGGCCCTTGATCACAGTGTTCCCTGGTTTTCATAGAATTGCCAAAGTCAGACCCACACTGTTGCTTTGCTGTAATATTTTCTTTTTGTTTCTTTCTTTTGAATTTCTACAGGGCTGCAAAGTATGCCAGGGGAGTATGTAGCCCGGGGTGGTCCAATGGGTGTGAGTATGGGACAGCCAAGTTATACCCAACCCCAGATGCCCCCCCATCCTGCTCAGCTGCGTCATGGGCCCCCCATGCATACGTACATTCCTGGACACCCTCACCACCCAACAGCGATGATGCATGGAGGACCGCCCCACCCTGGAATGCCAATGTCAGCATCAAGCCCCTCGGTTCTTAATCCAGGAGACCCGACAATGAGTGGACAAGTCATGGACATTCATGCTCAGTAGCTTAAGGGAATATGCATTGTCTGCAATGGTGACTGATTTCAAATCATGTTTTTTTCTGCAATGACTATGGAGTTCCATTCTTGACATCTACTTTGGACCAAGGAGCATCCCTAATTCTTCATAGGGACTCTTAAAATGCAGGAAAACCAACTGAAGTCAATTTGGGGGACATGCAAAATAACTATATAAGACATTAAAAGAACAAAGAGTGAAATATTGTAAATGCTATTATACTGTTATCCATATTACGTTGTTTCTTATAGATTTTTTAAAAAAAATGTGAAATTTTTCCACACTATGTGTGTTGTTTCCATAGCTCTTCACTTCCTCCAGAAGCCTCCTTACATTAAAAAGCCTTACAGTTATCCTGCAAGGGACAGGAAGGTCTGATTTGCAGGATTTTTAGAGCATTAAAATAACTATTAGGCAGGAGAATCTTCTTGCCTAGGATTTCAGCCATGTGCGCTCTCTCTTTCTCTCTCTTTTCCTCTCTCTCCCTCTCTCTAGCCTGGGGCTTGAATTTGCATGTCTAATTCATTTACTCACCATATTTGAATTGGCCTGAACAGATGTAACTCGGGAAGGATGGGAAAAACTGCAGTCATCAACAATGATTAATCAGCTGTTGCAGGCAGTGTCTTAAGGAGACTGGTAGGAGGAGGCATGGAAACCCAGAGGCCGTGTGTTTAGAAGCCTAATTGTCACATCAAGCATCATTGTCCCCATGCGACAACCACCACCACCTTATACATCACTTCCTGTTTTGTGCAGCTCAAAAACATAGACTGAAGATTTATTTTTAATATGTTGACTTTATTTCTCAGCAAAGCATTGGTCATGTGTGTATTTTTCCATAGTCCCACCTTGGAGCATTTATGTAGACATTGTAAATAAATTTTGTGCAAAAAGGACTGGAAAAATGAACTGTATTATTGCAATTTTTTTTGTAAAAGTAGCAGTTTGGTATGAGTTGGCATGCATACAAGGTTTACTAAGTGGGATAAGCTAATTATACTTTTTGTTGTGGATAAACAAATGCTTGTCAATAGCCTTTTCCTATCAAGAAAACGAGGCGCTAATTATTAATAACAACCATGGCACAATGAGTCTTAGCATTTTGATGGAATTTGGATTGTATGAGAACTCCCAAGTTCAGCTGTAGTCATTGAGCGCAGTAATGAAATCAGAATCCAGAATAAAAACAAGACTATTTTTGACATTCTGACTTCACTGCTTAAAAGATGTGTTCCCCCCAATTTTTAATGATCAGTGCAGTAAATATGACAATTAGCTCCCTGAGCCATATGTATTTGAAAATTGTAACCACTGAGTAAATTATTTAACAATAACCACTGGTTTAAGATGAGTTAATGAACTGGTAATATAAACAAAACGAAGGGTTAAAGTCACTAAACTAGCTGGAGACTCAGATTACAGTCGACAGTATTATTCACCTACACTATCAGTGAAATTATGCTTGCATACGGTGGCAAAGCTACAGGCCACAGTCAGCCTTTCACCAAGGATATAATCGAGGACAAGCAGTACATGTTGATTAAGAAATTAACTATATAAAATTGAAGAGACCAGACTTCAAAATCTAATTTTTATAAATATGTTCTATGTTCTCATTGGATAAAACTGGTTATTAACCAATTTTCCAGAACAGCTGTACAGAATTTCTGCATGGCAGCCAGCTAAATGGTTCAAAATAACATGTTTAAGCTGCAATAGCTTATAATTTCACTTTAAATAAAATCGCTGCTCTAAAAAATGCTTCGCCAAGCTAAGGGGAATATACAACTATTTTAATTAAGGCCAATTCATTTTTAAAAATAAGCCTTTTGGTTGCTTTGGGAACAAAGGATGGGTCAGAGGCCTTAAACTCCAGTCTGACATTCAGGCCCTTGTCACCTTATAAACCCGCCCACAGCAATCCTGTTTTCTATTTGGAAAGAGAAACCAGCTGTGGGCTGGCTTTACTAGGGCTGTGAGTCAGTGTGCCTCACCTGCTGGAGCAGAGGGCGGCTTGCTCACCTTTTGTTTATGGGGCCTGGTTTCGGAACACGTGGATGTGCAGGAGACAGAGGCCTAACCTACTGCATGCAGCCTGGTCCCAGAGCTGCCACCCACCTCGTCCCCACCCCAATGATGGGACCATTTAACTTTCCTATTTTGGCCTCTAGACAGTTCTCCGACTGCATTAAGTAGTCCATATTAGTGAAATCATTTTCTGTGATGGGTGGCTAGTAGCAGTTAACAACCATTTATTTACTTTTAAAATTAATAATAAACTTTATAAACTAACCGTCCTTTTATTCCTGCCTCCCCAGTTACATGCTCCATGAGTCAGCCTTTATTCTTCTGGAGGCGCTTGCCTAAGGGGGTGGGGTGGTGCGGAGGGGGAGCAGAGGAGAGGAAAGGGGGGAGGTTTTAAGGAGAGAGGAGAGTGAGTGTAAGCAAAGGGGGGGGGGATACGGAGATCAAAAAGAATCATGATCATTAATGTCCAGGAATTAGAAAAAAATAAAACAAGCTTTTGTGTCGTGGGTTCCCCCCTCGGAGTGAGGATTGTGTGAACCTCACTCCTCAGGTCTCCCTCTTTCTGCCCCCGACACCCTCCCGCTTAATGCTGTTTTAGCTTTTCCTCTTGTAAATTTCAGAGCCAGCTTTGAGGTTATTGAGGACACTTATCGGAAGGAGGGAAATAATAGAGGTGTGGAGAGTGTTTTTGATGTTTCTTAAAGGACAAAAACAAAACGCCCTCCCCTAAACAGGGCACACAATTGTACAGGCTTTTTTTTTGGGGGGGGGGGTGATGGAGGGGGGAGGTCCGCTGACTGAATGAGACTGTAGAGGATTTAAATATTTTTTCCAAAAAATTAAAAAAAATATGTTACCCGATCATATTTAATCAAATGTAATTATAACACATTCAAAATGAATAATATGCCTTGGCAGTATTTTTATTGTTACTGTTCATTGCGCGATGTTCGACTGCTTTAGAAGCACAGGAAAGAAGCAAACGCGCTACAAATGGGAAATTACCCTCGTTTAGCATTAAAATTCATTTAGATAAAATTGCCACAAACATTTAAATGGGAAGATTAGTTCCCCCTCACGCCTTATTGCACTCGCTCAATGGTTCCGTTAAGAACATTTTACACGTTGGAAATTCCGTCTTCTCAGACGGCTTGCTGTTTCCTAGTTACACACATTCAAAGCAAAGGCTGCAGCAGCGGCAGCCGCAGCAGCGGCAGCAGGGGGAAAAAAAGTTTGGCAACTGCTCTGCGATTCATCCACTGCGCCCCCAGTCTCCCCTCCGCCCTCCTCAGTCTGCCCACTACCCTCCCCCCATTATGCAGTTTGCAGAGCCCGGCCTCGAAGAACCAAGTTTGGTTGTACAGTATAGATAATATTAAACTGGAAAAAAAAAAAAAAAAAAAAGGAAGAAGACAAAACGGTGGGTCCCTCTTGGCTTTTCCCTCTTGCACACAAGGCTGAGGGTTGAGCGCGAATGTGCTGAGCCGCTCGCACCCCCCACCCCGGGGCCGCCAGGCACGCTGCTTTGGCCCGAGACGTTTCCAGGAAATTCGCCACTGCCCTTACTAGTGCGGTGGTGGAAACGTGTTAAAGGCTCAGCTTGCAAAGTCCAGGCACCGTCCAGTCCCTCCCGGCCCTCTTCTCGCCCCACCCCTCCCCCGCAGTCCCCCACCCCGGTCCTTTCTTTAGAGCCGCAGGAAAAGAGGAAAGTCGGCTTCGACTGCCACCTTTTGGGGATTTGGAAAAACGACGCGGTAGGAGACCGGAGGGAGGCGGAGCGCGGGGATGGAGGGTGGGGTGGGGGTGGGTGGGGAGAAACCCCCTTATGATCCTGCGTCGGAACTGGCGCCCTTAATCTGATGCTTAAATATTTGATGTGGAAAAATTACCCATAAAATTAGTTACTAACAATTTCAAATTGAAATCACTTATCGAATTATAAGCGCATTAAAGCTGTATGGATGGTATTAGGAGTTCCTTGGGAGGCTGTCTCCTAGCAGGGAGCCAGGCCTGCGAGTTTTGCCACGGGGAGAGGTGTCGTCGGTGGAGCCCTGGGGCGGGCTCGAGACTCGGGCGGCGGCCGGGGTGCGGGGGTCCTGCCCGGGGCTGGGAGAGGAAGGAGCTGGGTGCCGGGATCTCAGTCGGGGCCGAAGCGCGTCCTGGGCAGCTCCCGGGACACAGTCCACGCGCTGGGTAAGGGGGAAGCTGCTCCCTTACGCTGGAATTCTGAGTCTTCAGTGATGCTCCCAGCCTCACCTTTGCAGGCGGGGGACCGGAGAGGAGTTGCGAGTGCTCCAGCAGGGCCAGGCTCCCAGTCCCTGATGAAACTGCCAGGCCCGCTCACCCAGCTCCAGCCGCGACTCAGCCGCCCTTGAGTTTCCCCACGCGCGACGTCCCGCTTGGGTCGGGTATGTGGGCAGGTGGGTCTCAGTCGCCACCTCACACTACTCTGGATCTTCGGAGGAGTCCTACGCTTTTCCCACCTCCCACCTCAAAGTCAAAAGTCAGGAAGTGATTGACTGTCTCTGGAGACGGGGTGCCCAGGGGTCTTCGCAAAAGCGGGTGTAGAGAATGCCTTCGGAGACCCTCCGGGTCCCCCTCCTTTGGAACCTCTCAGAGTGGTTTGTGTTTGCCTGAATGCTTTCCTTTTGCCAGAGGAAGCTCCGGCTTTCGAATCCCACGGTGCTAGCGGGAGCACGACGATGAGAGCCTGGGGACAGGAGAATACGTGGGAGGGTCAGGCCGGGCAGGCGGTGGAGTTCTCCACAGAGCAGCATAGCACCGCGGTGTGTTAGGCAGGGGCTCCTTGGGATTACTTTAAACGCCCTGCAAACTCCCCCCCCCTTTTGGGTCCCGCAGGCCCTCGGCCCTGGGGAAGGCAGTTAAAACAGGAATTGCTGATGCAAGCTCCCAGTGGGCGTTTGGACACTGAGTGGAGAGGCGTGGGCTTGGGTGCGGGGCGCCCATTCTGGTTCGGCATCTTCCCTGATGTTTTCTGTGCTACCCGGCACCCACTGGCCCTTTGGCGACCCGTAGAGCCGAGGAAGGACTGGACGCAGAGGCTAGGAGTCCTCCGGTGGGGGGGGGGTGGCCAGGGAGGGAGAGTTGGGGGTCGGGCTAGGCCCAAGCCCCAACTAACGGGAAGGGGAGAGCTCTCTTTCACATCGAACCAGCCTTCAAAAAAACGTTTGAAACATTCTCTTCCAAGGCAGAGCTGAAAGGAAAACACAAACAATATATTGGGCAACCCATTGGAGGTTTACGTGGTAAAGAGTCTTTGCCCTAAAAATGGTACCCTAGGGGTTTCCATAGGGAGACGGGAGGCACTTTTAGGGCCTTGGTTTTAGGGGGCCCTGCAGTGCCTCTTGGGATGCCCACGCGCGCTCAGTCCATCTCAAGGAAATCCGACAGTGAAGCCCTGGACTTAGTTTTAAGCTAGTCTTCCTTCGATTGGATTTATAATTCCACCCCTGACCACCTACAATTACACTCACCTCTACCCTAAAGCATGGTGTTCATTACCACCAGTGATTTTAATCTCCAGGCAGAAAACTAGTCAGGACCTCGCCCATGAGGAGAGCAGAGAATAAAGTCACCTGCTTCATACACCCACGGGTCCCGATCTCCCCCCACACCCCGGTGTCTTTTTGTGACTTGGCACTCTGCATGAGTACCTAGTTTCACGTAGAGTGTACCGGAAAGAGGTCAGGAACACAGTGCCTGCTTTCTCGGGGTTGGAGACCTGACGGATGGATAGGAAGGCCGGCTCGAAGGCTCTCCTCCTCTCTCGGTCTCTCGCCCTTCTACATAGGCCTCCCTCACACCTCCGCGTGTTTCTCTTCCTCCACCCTAAAAGTGGCAGGTTCCCCTAATTCACCTGTAGACCGTCTCTAGCCCCTCCCAGTGCCCGCTGGTGTGCGCGCCGGGTGTATATGTGTGTTTGTGTTGGGGTGTGTGGTGTGTGTGTGTGTTTGCGCACCGCAATCGCTGCAAACAGCTCCAGTTCACGCCTACCGACCTCACCCACTTTCCTTGGCTTGAGTGGGTGTTGATTGCACAGAGAGATTCCCCCTTGAAGATTCGCGGGGCATATCCTTCAAAGAGCCGGATCCCTCCATTCAAGGGAGATCGACACCCACTGATAACTTCATCTCTAAGAGACCCAGTGCGGCTGCA